TCGTATTAGTTATAAACCGACGTTAGCTTCACGTTTATGTCACACCATGGAAACAGCCAAAAACTTGGTGCTTGTTTTTGAGCGGAGCGGATCGCCAACCAGCCTACCGGCTTGTTTTAATACCACTGAAATAGAATTACTGGTTACCATCTAACTACTTGTCACAGTACTGTGTTCAACCATACTTGATAATCGTAATATTTTTTTTTTATATATATATTCGGTGTCTCTCCATTAAAATATTGTTTTCCTATGTATACATTTTGAAAATTAATTCCTGTGAAAATGACATAATCCAGGAGAGCATTCATGAATGTTAAGCCACACCCAAAGATAGATTTTCTATGGATTGTAAAATATTCCCAATGCACTTTTTGAAGGGTGGTACATTTTGCACTAACCAGTCATTGGTGGCACTGTTGCGAGATACTGAAATAAAGTTTGGGTTTATACACACCAGATAACTCAAGTTTTTCGATAGCATGATGTTCCCTATCTGGATTAACCCTTCTCCACCCAAAATGCATGCAAATATATTGGTATTCTGTGAAATTGCCGCTGAATTATAACATCATTTTGGTCCATACGAATAGTTTCAGATATATTGCTTTTACTTTTTGACCAAAAGGTTTTTCAATTCTTATCAACATTGTATATGAGGAGAGAGCAGACTGTACACACCAAAAGTTGACAACGACGCTCAAAGGGTTAATTCTCCATCTTTTTCACAAGAATCATCCCTGGCCCTATTTAACATAAAGTAATTTAAAAACATTGTTCCTTCTGTAAAAATGAATTAAAATAATCCTTAGTCTACCCAAGCCATTAACACATATACCAATACTACCGTATATTAAAATTCCTACCTGTTGAATCAAGCCAAGTACAATTTGTATTAGAAAAACCTGCAATAAAAACAATGAAATACATCAAACAAAATTCTCTGGCATATTTTAATATATACAGAAACACATTCAGCAAAACACTCAGCAACTTAGCTGACAATTTTGCTGTTATGGTGTCCAAAACAATGTGGCACAGACAGTAAAATTGTTTCTAAAGTTACATGTTTAAATCAGAGGTACACAAAAATGCCATACAGGAGCTTTCAAGCAGAGGTTAGAGGTTCTCGATAAATTAATTAAAATATTTGTATTGTAACAAATCAGTAAACATATTTTTGAATTTTATTAGTTAGAACACTGAATCAGTATGAATAAGCAGTGAAGTCTATATGTGTTTATTCAATGAATATATCGAATTATGTAACAAAGCAAGTTTGTTTCAATAAAATAAAATTCAGCTTGATTGTAATCTGCACATGTTTGAAAAACATTTGACGTATACATAAACATTTATACAAAAAATTGAATATGCAATTCATTGAAAGTGTTGTGCATGTATGTTTCTTACCATTTCTACAATTCTACGGATTAGAAATCTTTTTCTTATTCTTTCTGATCTGGGAAAATTCAGTTCATAACAGAGTGTGGGAGCCAACAGAAAATAGTAAAGATCTAAAAAGTATATAAAAAAAAGTGTCAAAAAATACGCTAGTGTTACACATTTTTAACTAGAACATGATTGTAAAAAAAAAAACAGTCCTTGCTTTTATTTGTAGCCTTGATAAGTTTTATTAAAAACATCTAAAATACCACAGTTTCAGATATTTCCAACTAAACCTTGGCACAAGACAGTTTGCCATTACCGGTAATTCTATTGCGGCATTATTACCTTGTCAGTTTTACTGCACACTAAAATAATTCATTGAGTCCATGTGAATCTATCATAGAAATTAATATTAAGTCAATCTTATTTGGAAATGGTCGATGAAAAAGCTAAAATAATACTAATTAATTGAACATTCAATAGAGTTTGTACATAACCATGAAACACACATGACTTCCTTACCTTTGAGATTCAAATTATCTGGATACTGTACCAAGTGTGTTGACAGTTTACCATTAGGAATTGTATAATGACCTGTAAATGCAACAATATAAAAACTGTAAACATCTCACTTTACATTCACCTAATATCAGAAACTCATCAGTGAGTTTTGCCACTAGAAATATTCATTATTTGAAAATATAAGAAGGTGTTTAAGAAGGAGATCTCACAAAAGTCGCTGTGACTTGCTCTGATGATTTCAGTGAAATGTTTGCAGCTGCAAAATTGATTTAAGAACGTTCATAATAAGGAATTTTCTTGAAAGCCACTCTGGCCACATGTCTTAATGACCCCAGTGTCCTTGATACTGCAAGCTTGATTCTTCTTCTTACTAATCTGATGCACATCTTGCAACGTAGACCAGGAGTTTGTTTTATAGAGCATGGAAGGTTTACTGGTATGTGAAAACAACAACTTTCCTTTGACATGTTTTACGGCTAGATTAAATTATTTCTTTACTAAATAATAATCAACGAAACTTAGAGAAGTGTACAAATACAATTACCCTGAAATTGTGTAATTGACAATCTGTTTATGTCACTAGTCTCTTGATCAGAGTACATTCTACACATGATTCACCATGACCAAAGACATATCGTATTATATATTAGATTTTTTATGAGGGGTTAATTTCTGCAATTTCAAAGTAAAAGAGTTTAAGTTCCGCATACAAGCATGAGTGTAAAAAGTAGTGTAACATATTACACAGGTCTGTGCTAAGATAGCACGTACTGTGATGACAACACTACAATGAACATCACTGCTATGATATTATTAGTGATTTTCCCCCAACCTGAGAAAATTAAACTCTCACAAAGTTAAAGCGGTTTTATATAATACAGTATAGCAGGAAATGTGTTTACAGAAAGCAGAGTAACAAACAACATACTTTCAGATTTGATTCTTGATCTTCTGTGTCTTTTACGGCTGTGTTTCTCTTTTTCCAGCATCTGTCGGCACCATCTATTCACCAATACGTAGGAAATCAACTTTAAAAATGTTACTGTGTATATGGATAAGGCAAAAAAGGCACCAACTGTGGAAGAAAACAGACAGTGTGATTAAAGACTAAGTTAGGGGGTTAGGATGGGACAATGAACCCATATACAGAGTAGCTCATTTTGCTTATTCAACAGTATGAAATAAACTGAGAATATTAACAAAATATTTCCTTTAAATACCTGGATTTGGTCTGTAAGTTAAAATAATAGCCGGTGCGAATAACAATATTAGTGCTATATTGATACCATTCAGAACTTTTCCTACAGATTCAGATATACTTTTCTGTAAAAATAAAAAGCAATAATGTAAGACAGGAAATAACATCTCAATGCTAAATTAGGCATTAAAATTCATAATAAATAAATTCATGTTGAAAACAAACAGCACTTTAGAAAAAGACTTTGACAGTGTGATTTTTACCCAAAACAAAAAGCGATTGAAGAATATCCATATTTCTTGATTGAGCAAATGCAAACTGTTTGGTTTACACAGGTCTTATAGTGAAGCCTGTTTACACTAAACATTAAATTGTTTGGTTTACAGAGGTGTCAGTTTATAGAGGTTTTACAGCAAGACCTTTCTAAATTGAACATCAATGAGATTGAGAAAAAATTGTTTGATTTACAGAAATGTAAATCAATAACAGGCTTTGTATACAATTGTTCTAACAGAGAAGAAACTATGTTCACTGCCAGTGAAACAAGCAGCCTCTCGGCTGAGATAGCTCCGCTGTTTGCAATGCACATTTCAATTATAGAACAGAAGATATCATTAGAAAATGAACAATATGCATAGTATCAATGCAATGGGACTTGCTGTTTTCAACAAAAATTCAAAAATATCTTTTTTCACCATAAATGATTGTGGTTGTTAACAAGAAGAAATATCACTTTTTACCAAAAATGACAAAAATATTCACCAAAATTACTGTAGATAATTAAAGATATCATTACAAAATAAACAAATCTGAGAGAGGTCCACATGTAGTACCTATATATGTAATAATATCAAAGCAATTGGACTTGTCATTTTTAACAAGAAGTCGAAAATATCACTTTTTACCAAAAATGACAAAAATATTCACCAAAATTAGAGAATTAAAGATATCATTACAAAATGAATAAATCAGAGAGAGGTCCACATGTAGTACCTATATATGTAATATCAAAGCAATTGGACTTGCGGTTTTTAACAAGAAGTCAAAAATATCACTTTTTACCAAAAATTACAAAAATATTCACCAAAATTAGAGAATGACGATAT